ATAGATAGATCATAGCAGAGGACGGATGAATGCCCAAGAAGTTCTGGCAATGACATGGGTGAGGGAGAATCAGATGGGGGAGCGATAACGGTGGGCAGGAGTGTGTGAGTCGCTTTCTGCATGTGTGAGGAAGAGAGAGCAGTCGGGTTCTTTATTCCCATTGCATAGGCTAACTAAAACTGAAATTTATTAACCTAAACTTTGTTTTTAACTTTTGTTACGGCTAGGCTAGTAGACACAAGTGTAGGACTTAGAAGGGCGAGGAGTTAGATAGAAGAGGAATATTTTTTGCAGGGATGAAGGGATTTGATATTGAGCCGGGGAAGATCGAGGCCGAGTGCAAGACTAGATGCGTGGAGAACCGGGTTGGTAGCTGCTGTGCAGAGCAGGGGGAAACCGTAGCTGAGAGTCCAGCGAGAAAGAGGCTGAGCGAGCAGGTCCGGTGCAGAATCCAGGAATATTTTAGACAGGCACAGGTCCAGAGAGAGACGGGATAAGCGCTATTTTTGGTAGCACACTAAAATAAGTTATTATATTCACTTTGAACTTTGATTAATTTTAAAAGGTAAGCTTTTTGACTTTTTCAATCTGTAATGAAATAAAGCATATGTAAAATGAATACAGCGTGAGGTTTACTGCTGTGAGAAATCCCAAAATTGAAAATCGAATACCTACCCAACGAATGAATATTCGAATATTCGTTTATTGGGTCCAGGCCTAATCAATACAATTGTTTAATAAGTATAAACATGTGGAAAGCAATATTTTAATCGGCTCTGTCAAACAAAGCACGGCATGCTAGCTCTGCTAACAGCGAATTGATATAAACAAGCTGAAACAAAAGCTGTCTGTATGTGGCCTGTTTAGCTTAGTTTGTCACATACCTTAAAATTTTTCAAGTCATTGTAAACTCAGCTGCTGGCTGAGACAAACCAGCTGCTCCTCTCTACCAGCAGCAGCAGAGGGAGGGGGAAGGACTGATACCGACTGATTTCTGAGTTCGATTATTCTTAATAAACTCATTATTTTGATGTCAAATATATAACTTATTTTACTGACATTTTTGATTTGTTTGTAGTAAGATATTTATACTTACTATATTTATACTTTAAATAGTGACATTGCTGTTGTAAACATTACATTTTGTTGCAGTTCTGGAAACATTTAGTCATAATAAAATATTAAGTTCTAATCCTGGTCAGAATTTCTTCTCTTTTTTTATTAATTATTTTAAAAAAAGGCAATATAACGAATGTTGTTTTCCCATGATAACGGTATAATTTAAGTAAAATAAAATAAGACGTATGAGTTCCAAACCAGAAGCAAAACCAGCCGCATGGACATGAGGGCCATTGATCTTAGAAAAATGGAGAGAGGTCCTCAGGAATGTGTTTCAAGCAGGCAAACTGCTACCAGCCATGTCTCCACACATCATGGGAATATCCGGCAAGATGCCGACAGCGGAAACAGCTGATCGTGATGTAAGTTACAAGTTCGCTACGCCTTATTCTGCAAAACTGTTTCCATCTCCCATTGAGCGCATTAACTGTTTTTCCACAGAGACAAAAACCATCTCAAGCGAACGTAAAAACATTTTTGCAAAATTAAAGTGTGTTTTTTTTTTTAATTGATACTTCAAAATGTGCATAAAAAACTTTGATGGAAACACGGCTACTGATGTGCTACTGTTCTTATGAAGAAACTGTTTCACATGCTCACAATAAAGCACGTGCTGGACTGTCTCCATCCCGGTGATTGGTCCACATTCATCAACCTGTACTTTTCATTATTCCCAGGCAGAGGAACTCTCTGTGCTTCTCATTCAGGTTGAATCCATTAAACGTTACACATTTCCTGATGGCTATTTCGGAACCTTTGAAATAGCCGTCAGGAAATGTGTGATTGGATTCCCTTGAATCTCTTCAGAACAATGTTGCTGAAGAGAATAATTTAAAAAAACACAGAAAAGAAGAAAAAAAAATTATTCAGAGCAGCAGTCGAACACGCAATCCTTGAACTACAAGTCCTGTGCTGTACCAACTCAGCTAACCAGTCACACTGGAAATTTTTCTGAAATAACCTAAAAAAAAACACACCTGCTGATCTCGGTATTTGTTATCTCGAGATCACGAGAATGGATGGCCACTTAGGGCTTCCGTAGTTAAGTGTCTATGTGTCAAACTATTTTTAGTGCCATCCACACAGACACTGGACAAATAAAATTACAAGTACTTTCTTTAGTCTTTTCTTCTTTCTCTCTGGTAATATACTGACATACCAAATAACTACTCAAGTAAAGAAAAAAAAACCCACCAAGGATATAAAAAGATTTTTTAGCAAAAATACATTTTAATTTTATTTTGACCATTTAACAGGTTCCCTTACAGTGATGATTGACCATTTTGCAACAGTTAATTTATGAATGCATCAGCTCGGATATGATTGACTATTAAAGCATCCGGATGTGAAGCTTGACTGTCCCATGTATTGTTGCAGAGTTTACCTTCAGTTATTCTGTAGCTCCTCCAGCACAGCCATGTTTACAGCCTGCATCAATCTCAGACTGGGATGTTAATCACATTTCAATACTACACACAGTGTCTAGATTTAGTACATCCCTTGATATGTTGAATAATAATGACCTCATTTCCATGCAAGGGAAAGACACTTTACCGCAAATGTTTCGGTACCTCGTCAGGGCCTGAAGGGAGCCCAGGGGAGAGTTAGGAGTTTGACATGACTTTGCAAGGAGAGATCAAGGATAGTATGGGACAACTGTCCCCATAGTCATTAGGCTGCCTCTACCCCCATATGCACTCATCATCCATATCTATCTCACAGAGGTCTCCTCCCCATTCACAGAGGTCCCTCTCTTTCTCTCTGGTGGGTTTGTTGTGTTAGCGCTGTCTCTCTTACCGCATGCTAGATAAATGCTGTCCTCTGCTGTCCGCTGCTCCGTCTCTCTCCTTTCCTTTCTCCCTCACCCGTCTGACCCTTACAATATGTCTCATTGATGGTCCAACCCCGTCTCCAGGCCCAGTGAACCCTAATAAATAGAATACTCATATTACATTTATACCTATGGGACTTCAATGTCCAGAGAGCAAGAAGTATAAAGGAGGGAGTAGGTAGAGTAGGAGTGAGAGCAGAGACTGTGAAGGGTAAGAGTTAAAGAAATGCGACAGTTGAGATGGCAACAAAAAGTACAGAAGTGGGGAAAGGAGGAACAGCACAAGAGAGGAATGATAGCACAGAGGAAGAAAAGAATGAAGGATGAAGACAAGTTAGAAAGTGATGAGTGGAGGAGTATAAGAAGCTGTGATAGGAGAGGATCCTTTCTGTACTCTGTCTGATACTTTCTATGATGTTTCAGAAGACTCCTTCAGGGTACTGTGTTGGCATCAGGCCGCTGGCATGGTACATAACTAGTGTCTTCTTCATGGTCTTTCTTCTCAGCCTCTGTGTCTCTCAGACAGGCAGCCTTCTTCTGTCTTTCTCTTTCTTTCACTTTCTCTTGTTTGATGTGATCAATTGGTAGTTTACTTCACCCTGTGCACTGATCTTTTACTGTCTCCCTGCTGTTTCTTACACAGCAGCAACTAAACCAAGACCAAAACACTTGAATGCAAAAGGGATCAAAGGGAGCAACTACTTATTTTGGTTGATGTGCTGCTGTTATTTTGCTTTTACTGCACTTTTACTTCGGCTCATCACCAGAAAGATTGCTCTAAATTGTAAAAGAAAAAATCCTGAATGGAATGGTTCGACAATTTGAGAAATATGCACATTAGCTCTTTGCAGAGAGTAGGATGCAGAGATTGATGCCACTCTCATTTCTGTACGATAAGTATGTAGCTGAAGGCTTCACAGATTAGCAAAAAGACTGGAAACAGCCAGCCTGGCTGTGTCAAAGGATGAGTTTGTGGACACCTCACCTGTCGCCTCTCTCTGCCCACGTCTTGCATTTGGCAACGGGGTTACCTGCAGGGGCTGACCTGTCTCTCTCCCTCTCTGTTTGTGTGCTGTCCTTATGCTTTATTTCATCCTCCTCGTCATCATCCACCTGAATATAACCATCTGACCTGCTGAATGTAGGCTATCTGAGTTATGAAATGATATTGTGCTTTTGACGGATGTGAAAAAATGCAGAGCATGAGCTGTCCACGTGAAATGGAGTATGTCTATAGACTGAAGTGCATGAAGATTTCTTTTACCTTTACAAGCATCAACAACGATTGTTTGCTTGTTAGAGTTCAGCTCTAGCTCAACCTGCCAATTTTCACAGTGGTGAGCGGGAGGTTGGCTGTTTGTCCGGGGAGAACTCGCTGGGAAAAATAACATTACCATTCACACTTCACTCTAAAAGGGGGGAAACTGCCGGTAGCCTAATTATGTGCGTGTATTTTACAAGACGAAGCGAGCATGCACGTTTGGGTTTATGTGCCATGCTATGCTTATACTTGTACTGTGCTTGTACTGCTTGTACTTCACACAACAAGCAGCTGTTAGCTAACATCACAGGTGTTCTGCTCTGTTTGAATATTTGTGTGACTGTCTGCTTTGCATAAGGCAGAAAATATATTAAAATGTTTAAATTGCACAGATAAATACATGCATACTGCATCTAAAGCGCAAACCAATTGGTCAACACCAATAAATAGTCAGCGCCATCAAGTGGAATAAACTAAATTAGCTGCCAGCTAGCTTTAATGCTACTTGAAAGAAAATTTAAAATAGTGGACAGCCAACCTATTTAAGTGCTCTATTTTCTGTATATTTTCCTGCATTATGTCTTATTTCTTTCATCTGCAGTGTTAAAATGACCATTATATATTTTATATATATATTTTTTGTACGACAGTAATTATTGAGCTTGAGATTTACTGATAGGCGAATTTAGTTTCCACTGTCTTAATACTAAGCGTGTTTCTTCAAGAGAAAACTCTATTCTCTCTGTCCTCACACCTTCACTGTGTCCCTCTGTGTCTCCATTGCTCCAGTGTGAAGATGGTGCTGCTGTGGATGGCTGGCGACGTCTTCAAGACAACCTACTTTGTGATGAATGAAAGCCCGACTCAGTTCTGGGTTTGCGGTTCAGCCCAGATCCTAATCGACGTGGCCATCCTGCTGCAGGTCGTTTTCTACAGCCAAGACACACGGGCCAAGCTAGGTTGAACATGGCTGTTGCTTTGGGCAACATAAAAACCAGGGCTTGTGTGTAAATTTCTGCGAGGCTTTTTAATAAAATGAGCTACAAAGTTGATTATAAGGATAGTTATTATCGGAGACATGTAGCACCATCAAGATAGATCTTTTGGGTCTGTTTTTAGTGTTCAGCCTTGATTCAAAGTATTCTGTCATATGTGTATATTTCATGAAGATCCAAACTATTTACCTTCAAGTGCAATTAAGCAAACATTTTTTTTGGTGCATTTTTAGCATTTTATACTATTTATTTGTTGTCTGTTGAACATTACTTGTATCCTGAAGTGTAGTGGACATGGAAACTGTAAGAGGGAAACATTACTCACATTGGCAGCACACTAACAGCAGATCTGTGCTGCTGTAATGACAGCTGTAATAACCAGTAGCCCTGCAATGGAATCTACTGCCTGACTGATGAGTCTCCCACTTCACACTCCACACCTCACTGGACCTGTTTTCATACATTGTGTGTGTGTGTGTGTGTGTGTGTGTGTGTGTGTGTGTGTGTGTGTGTGTGTGTGTGGCATGCTGGCTTGCTGGTGTGTCTTTACAGCTGAAATTGATTTTTGCCGTTGGCATCCAGTGCCAAGCCAAGGCCACAGAATGTACAAGTAATGGTGACTACATAGGACATCAATCTGTGTGTTATGACTCGTGCTCTTTTGCTTTGTGGTTTTAATTGACAAGCAATCCAGGCCTTCCACAAAAGAAACGAAAAACAACGTAACAATAGGGCCACGCTGCAATGCTTTGCACTGTACACGTCAGACTTCGGGTCAAAATATGTAACGTAATGTAACAGTATTACTGAATATTTGCGGCATTGTCAATCAAACATGTCATCGTCCCAATACTTGTTTTTAGTATCCCATCATTTGCTGCAATGTCTTTTTGTTCTTTCAAGTTTCGCTATTGCTTAAAGATTAATCATTTCATTGAAAAATTGTATTGTCATTATAAGGCATTATAAGGTCAAAGGAGAATCTAACAAAATTGTTAAAGGAGAGGCACTCCCTTCTGTTCTTGTATATTGTGAATCAATTTGCGTCATCTCTTTGTGTACATATCAAAACACCTACTCACAGGGAATGTTGGAATATCTTGAGATGATGTGTTTGATGGATGTATCTCACTGTGCCACATCATGTATGAGTCTTTGCATCCAGAAACGCTTTTCTGCTGATGCTGTAATTCATGTCATATATTTGGGGATTGGTCAAAATTATATTTATAGAAGTCTCCCCGGTTGCTGATACTGCAAGTTGGCGGCTTTGTTGTTCTGTGACCTCCCACTGTGAAATTCACTCCATGTGGATATACATGCATTCTTCAATGCTAGTTATCTCATATTTCATCTTTTGGCCAGATTGTAAGCTGTATGTGTCTTATCTCCTGCACCCTGAATACCCCAGTTGTATTGCAGTTGCTTTATTTCTTATTACCAGATGTATATCTTTATATTATCTCCCTCAGTAGAGACTCAGAACGGCAACCTCATTGGACGTAGTTTAATATTGGGTCTCCCTGTAGCCTTTTCTTCTCAAGGGCAGTAGGACAGATTACTGCCTGGTTGTGATAATCGCTCAGCCAAGTTATATTACAATAAACGTACGTGTTGCCTTACTACTACAGTACTAATAAGAATTATGTGGTTTGTCATTTCTGAGGAGGGAGAGGGTTGGACTGTTACTTCTACTAGATGCGATATATATTTCATGTGTATTATGAAACAAGTTATTAATTATCAGTTATGGCAAAAAAAAATTGTGTGAATTTTAGTTACTGTTGTAATGTTCGCTGATGTTTCTTCAGGTAATGTATTCACAGGATCTTTGAAACCAAAGGTGTAACCAAAAGTAAGTGTTGCCTTTAATTATTTTATAGTTTACCAAACCAGACTTCTCATATCATGTAACACTATGAGGGTTACCACAGGATATAAAGGTATATGGACATGTCGAAAATGAATCATGTTATTTTCTCAAATATAAACTATTTATATTTCAGCATGTGGTCTTGTGTGGTTACTGTTACATGGAGCATGTTAAGAAGAAAAAAGTTTGAAAAAAATCTGATTTGATCTGAGCCCAGCAGGCTGCTACTGGCTGGATTTAGACAGGATTTCTACCCAAAATCAATCATATAAGGGTAAAAAAAAACATGATTTTTTTTTTACCCTTAAAAAAAAAAAGGGGAGGGGGCTCTTTTGTCCTGGGAAAACCTTGAATTCCTCTATTTGAAAGGATTGAGAGTGTGTACCTGTGCACCAAATAAATCATGAAAAAAGATTGAGGCTGAGCCGGACTGTGCCTGCTGCTGGACACACAAGAGGGAAATTGATGAGTGGGGGTTAATTAAGATATGTATTGCTTCAAGGATTTATCCCCTCTGGCTAATGCATCATCACACACAGATGCATACACCAAGACGGCTGACAGTCAGTGCAGAGAAGCACTGCTGTATAGATAGTAAAATATTAACATGGATACAGTAGATAATGGGAGGCTCTCTATGGTTTATGGATGAGTTGGACAAGGGCAAACTGTGTTGTCCATCCATTAATAATAATACATTGCCTACAACACAGACCGGAGCCTCTGTGTACTTGTACCTGGATCAGAGAGTCTGCCTGATTGTATTCCCTCTAATGTTCAGCCAACAAAGACACATGTCTGTGAAACATTCAAGGTATTTCATAGTAGATCTTCGTCATAATGGACCCCGTCTGGCCTGCCATCTGTGTCTCCCTGTCCTTTTGTCTACCCATCCATCAGCTGACCATCCGACAAGACTGTCTATACAGTGGCTTGTTTTAATGATTTATGAGGTGGGCTAAAATAGTCCACCTGTACTTCACGTCTGTGATGTGCTGCACTGCCCTGTCCCGCACCATTTATTAATGACAGTGTGTCGTCATGCTGGGAAAGAGAGTAATGTGCACTTTTCATCCCCACTGAGTTTTCTAAACTTCAGTTCATAAGCAAATCAATTTTAACCAGTCTTTACTACAAAGAGAAATCCCTTTTACTGCCTATCAGTTCTGGAATATTTATTTTGAAAAATTATCTGTTAGGAAAAACATCTAAAATGCTTTTATTCTCAGAAATGTAGATTTGAGGAACTTTTTCAGCCCAGAGTGGCAGTCTGCAAACCTCTTGCTACTGCTTGTAAAGCTTTAATGCTATGAGCGCATGGCAACTGAGATGAGCATGTTAACATTTCGATCAACTCAAAAATTAAAGGGACACAGTTTAGTGGTATGTTAGTGACTAAATCAAACTCAAACTGTGAAAGGCATAGCATAATGTAAAATATGTTTGTGGCTATTACTTTTATTTTAATAGATTATAAGATCTGCAATGGACTGGCGACCTGTCCAGGGTATACCCCGGTTTTCGCCAATGTCAGCTGGGATTGGCTCCAGCCCCCCGCGACCCTGTACACAGGATAAGCGGTTGACGATGGATGGATGGATGGATGGAAGATTTTAAGATTTTGAATGCAGGACTTTTTACTTATAACATTTTTTTTTTCATTGCGGTATTGCTTTTACTTAAGTAAACGATCCGATACCTCTTTCAACATTGTTGTTCAGTAAATCGCAGCTAAATTGTTTGATAAAACAATGTTGATCATAGCACTTGTTTATGACTTACTTCCAAGAACAATTCATGCCGTAGTTGTGTGGCCTTGTTTACTATAATCAACAGCACCCGGGTGTGTATATTTTGAAAAAAATGTAAATCAATTCAACTTAGATGGACTTCATCCATCTCTTACTCATGTTTCCACAAATAGCTTTAGTTCTTGGGAACCTTTTGTTTTGCCAGCACTTCAGTTATCACTCCACATATAGCCATCCATATTTTTGGGAATGCAGGCCCCGTAGCAGGCAGATGGTCTTATATTAGTGGGCCCAGGTAAGCAGCAGAACCAGCCTAAAAGCACTTCAGCTGGAGAACGGAAGAAAATTGATCTCTTGTCTTGTCATCAGAACTAATAAAAACATTTTATTGCTCATTTCTAGTCGGAGCTGCTTCTGAAAGTGACCTTTGATCCCCCCCCACAAGAGAAGAGGCTATGATGACAGAAGGCAGGACAAACAGAGGAAAAAATATCTTGGTATTTTGGGAATTTGACAACCAGATGGTCTTCCAATCCAGTGTTGTTCCTTCTCCATGCAGGCACGGAAAGCAGGAGAGGAGAGAGGGAGACTTAATATGAAAAACAAGCTACAGAACTATGCAGTTTATATTATTACAGTCAGTGCCAGCAGTAGAGAGTGGATGCAAGGGTTAACAGTGAAATCACTAGACAAAAGAACTGAATATGAGGCACCAAAGGGAAAGACAGAATGTAACTGTATACTTTTGGGAAATGTAGTGTAGCCAGATGGTCCTAGCTAGTCCAGGACAGCCAGCCCCCCGACCCCCCAGGCATGTAATGACAGGCCGGGCACAGAAGGACAGGATCAAACTCTCAAAATGGATGTTGCATGTATCTCTTTTTTTTTTCCTAGGTCACAGACTGCGGCAAACAGAGGAATTTGAAGGGAGGAAGAGAAGAAGACAACATAGAGAGTGGGACAAAGTCTGAAGAATACTCCAGTATCGTTAAAAATTCCAGTGTTTGAGAATTTAGGGGCATAAAAGCATGTTTTCAATTTGACAACAATGTACTTTGAAAAGTCTTCGTTGCTTTTATTGTATTTGGTTCCTGCACCAATATAAGAATATCTAATTTGAAGCCTTCACTTCAGATTTTAAAAGCATGTCTAATAAGAAATGTGAAGTCACATCACATTACTTTATATGTCGTGCAGCTTCTCGGTGTAGAGTGTACTTTGTGCATTTATTATGTATAGGGACTGTATAGGGAACAGAGAACAGATTTCTTGCTACAGTACATGGAACAAGGGGAATAGCTGTTGCAGATAATCCATCAAAGAGAGAATTATTATGACACCTCTGCAGAATAATCCTGCCTCCTATGTATCTTGTACTTTTTCTTTGTTTTTAGCTAAAAAAAACATCAATGAATTTGTTCATCAGCAGAAAATTTATGAACAAGTTTGAAAATTAATTAATCAAGTAACTATTTTAGCAAAGAAATACCAAAAATTCCAGCTTCGTTTTGTATCCAAAAGTGTATATTTCCCGGTTATCTTAGTCTTCTATGAATGAGATATCTTTGGGTTTTGTACTTCTTGGGAAATGTGGATGTTGTGACGTTTTTTAACCATTTCTCTGACATTTCATGGTAAAATCAATGAATGAAAAATGAGTGAATAAAGAAATGAATTAGCAGATTTATCAATAATGAAAATAATTGTTAGTTGCAGCCTTTTTCACCACCTACTGCTTATACTAGTCGTATCTGTCAGTGAGATTGCCATAAGCAAAAAGCAAATTTAAAAAAGCTATACAGTCTTTAGTACCAAGCAAGCAGCCACTTGTAATTTACATCAATCAATTTACACAAAAAACAGGGCACTTTTCATTTAGGTATTTATTTTCCTCTTTCAGCAAAGCTCAGTGACTGTGGAAGGGGGAAACAAGGCCTGAAGCAGGCAGATGGTATAGAGGCTCAGTGCAGTTTCAAGCCGCACAAAGAGGAGGGAATGACCCAGCAGGATGGAGATCAAACCCGCTCTGATGGATGGTCTCATCTGGCCTGCGACTTCAACCCGGGAGTCCAGACCACAACAGAGATCAGAGCAGAGCATCACAGGTCACACATCCTACCACAGGCAAAATGTAAAGACACGCATTACAGCTGAGACAATCTATAAATGAATCTATATGCAGTGAACTCTGCATGGGTTATTCTACAGAAGGGATTCTGCTGCAGTAGGTTTTGCAGGAAAGGGTCTGTTTGAGGCTCCTGCAGCCACTATAACTGTATAGATAGGAACATGTTTCTAAGGCCCCATCCACACTACTCCGTTTTTGTTTAAAAATGGAGTTTGGAAACGAATACAATCTCCGTCCCCACCAGTGTTTTAGCTGCGTTTCAGAGTTGATGTCTGTCTACATTAAAACAACTGAAAACGCTCGTCGAATGGCCGTTCACATACGCTGGGCATGCGCGTGCCGGTATAAGCATAAAGCAGATGGTCTCGCTCTTCCGTATTTACAGAAGATTTGGCGAATGTATAAAGTACTATAGACGAAGAGCTGCACAAGATATTTTTTTTTGCATGGATCAGTAACGAGCTGGGACTGTTACTGAATGTAATACAGGAGGCAGAAAAAACTGACTGGGAGTTGTCGCAAAGTAAATACAGTGACATACACAGTGGTGCTATAGCCTAAGTTTTATTTGCACAGTACAAAATATTTTAATAAAAATACCAAATCAAAAACTCTGTCAGTAGCATTGTGTTTGTGCTTTTCATGACTTATAAGAACCATTCAGAGAGCCAAACGTGAGCGTCTGCATCATCGTAAAACGCTCTCCGGAGTTTCAAAACGATAAACAGGGTCGGCAGCGTTTTCAAACTTCTCCATTTTAGGTCTTTGTTTTAGCCGTTTTTTTGTCTGGAGAGGAGGTGCAAACGTAGCAAAAGGTCTCCGTTTTAAATAAAAAACTCAGTGTGGATGGGGCCTCAGTCTCTCCTTGAGGATGCCCTTAACTTACACCAACTGCTCCCCTGTGGAGCGCATGTTTTCCTTTGCTTCCGCTGACATTTCTCCATCTGAAGTCCACAGATGGCCAAATGGCTCTTTTTTACATCATCTTGTTCTCACTCAAGATTATTTTGGAATCATTAGTTCTGTGAAGGGTTCATCTCTCTGTGAGGTTTTGCCAGCTTGTCCGTGTGAGTGTGTGCGCTCGTATTGACTGCTGCGTGCCTGCGTGTGGGTGTGTTTACATGAAGTCTATCACGACGAAGAATGCAGCACAGCAAGTGTCATGTTACATAGAACAACGACATCAGTTACTATTGTTACAGTGGAGCCAGAAAAACATACCAGCCGGCCAGTAAACAGATAAGCAACGACAA